AGGATTACATTTAAGGAAGATCAAGAAAGTAATCAGACCTCAACTGATCCCCATCACCTGGAAATGGCACAGCAGGAGCTGGGTGTTACATAGTTGGGGCCAGACTGAAACACAGTAGCATAATTTCCTTTAAGAAGAGCTGTGATTAAAAGATTCCCAAACATTGGGCTGACTGCAACAAAGCTCCATGTGTTGCCATATTTGAGAGTCAAATCAAATTTTCCTGTGATATAAGTTAATATCTACAAATTAGCAGACGCAATAAAGATTTTCCATTTTAATATCCTCTTATTGAACCTGTACATCAGAGGAAAGGCTCTGTGTCTGGAGCATATTGACCAAAAGGGAGGAAGAGCTCTTTATCTGAAGCATCTCTATCTGATAAAATCTAAAGCAAACTCGGCAGACAAAGGTCTGACATTAGACAGGCACTGGCTCTCTGCCCCGAGGCGTCACTGACCACTCACAGATATTTTGAAGACGTGACATCAGGAACTACCAGCCCATCTTTCTCTCTCTCTTTCCATCCAGGTGGACGGCTTCTTCACGCTGCTCTTCGGCCTCGCGAGCATCAACACCTTGACGGTGATCAGCATCACCAGATACATAAAGGGATGCCATCCAAACAAAGGTTTGCAGCTTTAGCCCAGCCTTTTGGCCTTCCTCGCATTCCAGCAGCAGTCTCTTATCTGACAGGAGAGTGTGGTGTTTTTAGTGCTAATGAAAGCTCATTACAGGCTTCAGCTGTGGAAATAACGACCACTCGTCTCCAGCAGTTTCATTTTTATTTCTCAAAGACATTATTAACTTATTTTGAAGTGAGATTTGCTATTTTGGGGGGTGCAACTGATGTTAAAAAATGCCTTAATTATGCTGGAAATTTAGTTGAGCAACTGCTTCTGCTGTCGGCGAGGGATAAAGGATTTTATTGTTTGTGGCTGCTCATGTTAACCTGACTGTTTTTACATTTGCTGTTAAACTATGGACATTAGTGGTAAATGTGGTGTGGCACCAGCTGCGTTTGCTAAAACCTTCGCTCTTATACTAAATCTAAATCTGAAAAAACCCCACTGCATGTGTTTTTGTGTGCAAATGAGTTAGGAGAATGAAATGTGCAGGTAAACCAGTGCAGATAATACGCAAAATACAGCTCAGTATTAAAATCACTGAAATCCTGCACGTATAATATGGGATATTTAAATTAGACGTTTGCTCGTTGCCTGGAAATAGAACAAACTATTATTTTCTTCCCTTGAACACTTTATCAACAGAGGCCCTTTTCAGTCGCAGATGTCAGCAAAGGCTGTTAAAAAAGAAAAGACTTCATTGTTCAACAAAAATTCATAGCAAGTCAAAAATTCTGCATCTAACTTTTTCTGTTGCCAAAATCATGACCTTTAAACTGTTTTTAAACTGCAAACAATCCTGCAGTCAGTTCCACGGTGTGAGAATAGCAGGCTGAACTCATGTTGCTTGTCCTTGCTCTGTCGTCTCGCAGCTCATTGTATCAGCATCAACACGATTGCTGTGTCACTAATCTGCATTTGGACTGGAGGGATTTTTTGGTCTGTTGCTCCACTCCTGGGCTGGGGCAGCTACACAGGTCTGTTTTATGCATCGGACTTAACGGTGCTTCATGCAACTTGACAACAGAGCCGTGATCTGACCTTGTATCTCGTGTTTCTTAGATCGAGGTTATGGAACTTGTGAAGTGGACTGGTCCAAAGCCAATTACTCCACTATTTACAAGTCCTACATCATATCCATCCTGATCTTCTGCTTTTTCATCCCGGTGATGATCATGCTCTTCTCCTACATCTCCATTATCAACACAGTGAAAACCACTAATGCAATGTCAGCTGACGGTTACCTCACCGCCCGCCAAAGGAAAATGGAGCGGGACGTCACAAGGGTAGGACAAAAGGAAAATAGTCGAGTCTAGTTGTGGAGGGTTTATTGAAAGGCTTGATTAGAAATGTAAAAAGGGACTCTTAAAAGGTCTACTTAAAAGCGCCCACTCGGTCATAAACCTCCTTTCACGTTACTCAAGTGCTGACAATAGTTTCCTTATGTCTCTTTTCAGATTTCCATTGTAATCTGCACTGCTTTCATCCTGGCCTGGTCACCATATGCAGTGGTGTCTATGTGGTCAGCCTGGGGCTTCCACGTGCCAAGCACAACCAGTATCATCACCCGCCTCTTTGCCAAGTCTGCCAGTTTTTACAACCCGCTCATCTACTTCGGCATGAGCTCCAAATTTCGCAAGGATATTTTGGTACTTCTGCCGTGCGCGCAAGAGCACAGCGAGGTGGTGCACTTGCAAAACATCACGCCAAAAGCCGAGGCCCCGCCCCCGCCTGAATCACTTCCAGGCCAGAAGCTGGAAGTGAAAAGTGCAGCTGCAGAGCTGAACCAATCTGAGCACGACAGTGATTCGGGGGTCAACAGCCCTCCTCAGACTCCTCCGTCTGACCCACAGGTCTTCCACATCGACGTGCCCTCTTACACTGAAACATCAGAGTACTGGTGTGACAGGCTCTGAAGACTGTTTCCATTTCACCTCAACCAATACTTGAATTCCATGGGGAGACTGGGAGTATTTATTTTTTTTTTTTTTGTATGTTATGGTCTTATCCATCTTAATAAATTGTATGTGCAACCAGTGTTAATAAATTATTTTAAGTTTCATCCCTGCTGCAAAGAGTATTTATTTCCAGGTCCTGTTAGGAGTGTTTTAACAATCACTCAAACCAAACTGGAACAATGCATGTGTTTTTTTAAAAGATGCCCAGCTCATGAAATCTGCAGTCAGTAAAATAGCGAGACAAGAGATGCACAACAACATCTGGAAACACTGAAGTGTCCTTAACTCAACCGAAGCAATGTGATGGCACAGTATCCTACTATTTCCCCCGTGTCCCCTGAGGGCATTCATACCCTCAGATCTACCTTATATCCTGCAGTCTACACTCTGTTGAGAAACAGCGTTTTATTTCTCAGTGTGTTTACGCATCACTCACAAGGAAATGGTTTTATTAAAGGGGCCGATTCATTCTCATTTCCAACTCCAAATTCTCTTCTAGAGAAGCTTTGCGTGCTTTATTATCTCATCCTCAGCCTTGCTACAGCCCCTGAATCACCCACTGTCTAAGCTGATTTAGTGCATCTTTCTTTAAGGCCGCTCTCCTCTTAAACCAGCTTTCTTCTGATTTGCTGCCCCTGGCAAACAAAAGGCTTGAACGGCAGATGGATTAGGCTGCTGTCCTCACAGCCAGAGGTCTGTAGGAGCTAAATGTAGAAAAAGCTGTCTGAGAACGCTTGACTTTTTAAAAAAAATAATACTGAATATTAGGGATGGGTACCGGTGTCCGGTGCCATGATGGCACCGGTTCTGACATAAACGGTAGTAACCAGACCGAAAAGCAGCGCACATTTCGGTGCTTTATTTCGGTGCTTTTTTTTTCCTGAGCTGTGATACACTTCTAGCCAATCATTTTACGTTTCCCAGGATAGTAGGCGGGGCCAGGTACGTACGTTCAGTTAGAGCAGAGCTACAGATTAAAAATGTCCAAGGCGAAGCGGTCAAAAGTCTGGCTGTACTTCACAGCAAAATATGCAAACTCAGCAGCAACAAGTGCTTTAAGGTGATACTGTGATACTGTCAAAGGAGGTAACACCTCGAATCCGATGAAACACCTGGCGACGCATAGCGTTTTTTTTAAAAGTCGAGAAATGCGCCGTATTTGATAGCTTGCTGGAGACCTCACACCGTGCACGTCGGGTGGGTTGCCTGTTATCGGACCGGAGCAACATCCCCCAAAAACCCGAAGAATAGAGTCCTGGCCCCTAGCCCTGCCAGTGTAGCAGAAATGATGACGGATGATGATGGCAGCAGAAGCCGTTCTTCTCTGCGTGAGTCGCTTAATGTTGTCCGTGTGTAATTTACCACGTTATTACATTAATGCATGTAAGGTGAACTAGCAAACACCATCATAGCTACATGCGGCTGTCCTCTTGTTTGATGGCAGATACTCCCTTCACCCTGGACAAAAAGGCTAAAATGACCAAAGAAAAAGTGGGAAACAGCTGAACATGAGAGGATTTTGGACAAAGTTTGTGTGTTTTTTCCATTGTTTAAGCACTGCTTCCAGCCAAGAGTGATACCATATATGCCCCATAGCTGCAGAAAAGGCTAACATTGTTATCTTTTTACAAAAAACAAACAAACAGCTGAACACGAGAGGTTTTTGGACAAAGTTTGTGTTCTCCATTCTTTAAGCACCGGTTTGAGCACCGTTTAAGCACCGGCACCGTTTCAAAAGTACCGATTTGGCACCGGTATCGGATAAAACCTAAACGATACCCATCCCTACTGAATATAATATAAGCATTCACCGCTGTAACAGTACATGCATGAGAGAAAAGAAGGAAAACTTAAAAGATCAGCTTAATCAAAAGATGAGTGTTTTGTTTTTGGTTTTTTTGTAAACTTAAATCATGAGTGCCTGAATTAGGACAACTTTTACTGTAATGACATGAAGGACATTTACAGCAGACATTAAGAGCTAAATGGCCTCGGGCTCATTAGAGCCACCCATACCTACTGTGCTTGTAGTAAAAGTCTGTGTAGTCTGCAGTCAGTGTGTGTGTGTGTGTGTGTGTGTTTGTACATGAGCTGTAGGGTACACCGCAACTGCATGTCAAAAGCCGCAAACCCCCAAAGTGACAGTGGATTTAACTTTGAAGTGCTTCCCAAACAGGTGTTGATCGGTTTATTTGTGGAGGAATGATTGCTCTGGTGAGAGATGACACACTCATCTTAGGTGGTTCATTTGTCAGCCAGGTAATCGGGATGAATGAGTTTTAGAACATATAGTCAGAATCATAGTTTGTTTTTTCCCTCAGTGGGCTTAGTAAGGCAGTGCGTCATTTGATTCAGAGAGAGAAAAAGAAAACACTTGTCTGCGCACTGTCTCGATGGCCCCGGGTTACTGGTCTTCTTCTGCTTGGGTGAAGAGCTGCAAGCCTGAAGTGGGACGGGCAAATAGGAGAAACTTCGCCCCCGTCCCGTTCTCCACTTTTAATGAGCGCTGCGCTCAGGCAGGAGAAAAACTCCAGGTGGAAGAGCGCTCGCACACGCGTTAAACTGCTTTTCAATGAAAGAGTAAGGATCCAGGAAACCTGCGCTGGGAATCACCCCTTTAAACCTCGGAGGATTATTATACCTAATCAGGTAAGCACACATCATTACTCAGCGAGGATGGGAATTTTGAAAGCAGAGCTAACAAGCAGCTCCACATTATTTAAACGACGCGCGTAATTGGCTTCCAACGCGTTTTAGTCCTATTTTTTTCTGTCGGGGATTTTAAATCAACATCGCATGTTATTTGATTTGATTCGATTTTTGATTTTCATGTTATTTCATGAGAAAGTTGCATTAACAAGTTGCTTGAATAAACCTAGTGCTGCTTAAATTATTTTTTTTAAAGTTCTTTATTTTTTCTTTTTAAATAAAATAAAACACAAGGGTCTAAGTTACCCAAGCTTTTATCCTGAAAGGAATCATTCTGCCAGAGCTTTAAATTATTGCAGCTGCAAGAATTTTTCAGCTATTGAATTACTTTCTTGTACATTATCTTCTTATGTGTTGTGTCTTTCTGTTCTGTTTGGTTTGAAACATACTGATTAAGGGCAGGTGGTCTCTATACAGTATGTCCAGCAGCAGAACATAAACAGGCTCTGGCTTGCACTGAAGCCAGTGCCAAGAATTAAAGTAATTCAGCCTGTGCTGTGCTGGATAAACAAATAGTCAGCAGCAGCACAGCCCAAAAGGCTACAGAAATGACCTTGTAGAGACATGTTGGCTTTCCTTGGTGTCTGATTTTGATCTCTCTCTTATGGTTCCTTAGTTGGCTTGTTACTACAACACTTGGCACATCCAGCATGCTTACAGTACAATTCTGACACCTGTGAAGGGTGGGATTTAACACTGCCTGGCACGGGTGTGCGTGTAAATACTTTCTCGCTCTGGGCATGCAATCACCCAGGAACTTGGTGAAAGCAAGTTCTCAGCTGGTCGTGATATTTAAATAAGCCTCAGTCCCCTTTAGTGTGTACCCTTGTTGCATTTGCACAGGTCACTCCAGCCTAGAAATGTGGCACTGCTGAAATGCAGAAGTACCTTTTACTTGGCAGAAGCTGCATTAGAGGAAAAAAACAACAACTGTGTGCTTTCAGTTAAAAAAAAAAGCACTCTGAAGACTCAGATGCACCAGTTATAAGTGTTTGTGGTCTGTACCTATGCTTCCAAAACCTATTATGTGCTGGTCTTTGAAGTACCCACAGACAGCCACTGTTTACATTACATCCACTGTATACCTGTGCTGCTCCTGCAAGATGGGATTTTTTTTCCTGCTTTATGCATTGTGAAAGTTTTCACAGCAGCTGAATTTTTTTTTAATTTCACTTCGCAACATCAGATTAGCTGGTTTCGTGCAAAACAGCTCGGCACTGTGTAATCTTGGTGAAGGCTGTTCGGTGCCGGTAATCCACATTGTAGTGACAGTGTTAGTTGAAATGGACTTTAATGCCTTAAACTATGTGAGCTGTCTGAGCTGCTTTGCTTTCTACAAAGTGACTAAGGCTCATGCACAGAGCCTTTGTAGTGGCTGTGAAAATCACTTTGGTTTTTCTGTAGCTTTTTTCATACTTGTTACCATGTCAATGGTTTGTTTGATTTGTATCCCCACCCAGCTGAAATTAGATGCTGGAGATCCCAATGACGACCGAGAATATAGCTGATGCAACCTCAGAGGCAAAGCTAGGCTATTTAAATTACACATGTTTTATCTAAAGTTTAGGCGAACGCAAACTATAGGGGGGCACTTCAGCAGTATGTAGGACAATGTGTTTGTGATTTGACTCGATGCTAAATGTCTGAAAGTCCTTAAATAAGCATTCTCCAAAGCTATCTGCATGTGATAAGTTATCCCAAATCTTTGTTTATTTTAGCTTCTTTAATAGAGAGTGTGTTTGCGTGTGTGTGCATGTGCATGTCAGCATGCAAGACTGTGTCTCTGCAAGTCTCTGAGGATTCACTATCTACTGTACAGGAAACTCCCCTAAGTGTTTGTCAAAGGATATCATTTGCCCACCATTTCATTGCCATGAAAAGGAGGCATTTAGACGCTCACACTAAGAACACAAATTCCAAATTATCATCATTTTTGTTTGTCATTCATTTTTTCCACTATGATGTCATCCTTTTTCTCAGTGAAGCATAGACACTAAATTATGTTTTTGCTTTGTTTGATTGTTTTTTTAATTTGTCGCTCTAAATTTGTAAAATTGGGAGATTGCTGCCTTACACCTGATCTGTTTGATCAGCAGTTCACTTCATTTATGAAAGCGCACTTACTCACCTCTCCTCTTACTGCAGATCTGACTCCTGCACTGTAGATGCACATATCTGTCCCAGCTTGTTTCCAGCTTCGTTTTTCTTCACTCGGGAGGAAAAATTGTAGTCCCAACTGTGCATCAGTGATCTGCCTACCTGTCAAAGCACAGCACTGTGGAAAAACCATGTCAGTGCTCATGAATGCACTAAGGAAAGATTTGGTGATCTTAGTTTTTATTCAACAAGCTACACTGTTTTGTGCCGCAACCTTTGTAGAGAGTTAATAGAGAGCTATGGAAGAGAATGGCTTGCGGTATCTTAGTACTCCAAGACTGTTACAAGGATATTTACACAGCATACCTAAGTTTGCCTGACAAGCACATCTTTCTTTAAACATGTGATGGAAATGCAGCATAGGATGGTGCTGAAGCAGTTGATAATTCACTCTTGAGTCTGTAAGAAATATTTTAGCATTCTGGGAAAATGTTTTCTCTTTTTGTAGGACTGAGATTAAAACATTGATATCACTTTACTGCAGCATAGTCAACATCCAACAATAATTTGGACTGAAGCTGGAAGGGAAATGGGTAAGGGCAGGTTGCCTGTATATTCATATAATTTAGTAACAGCAGTTTTCTGCATAATTAGATGATCAAACATATTATATTCTGCTTATTTTGAGTATAAGCTATCTCTTATTCTTGCTGTTTTTGTCTCTGGAAAAAAGGGGGGAAAGCCTTATATTCACACTTTGTCTTTTTTGATATGAAGTTGAAATCGCATGTTATATGACTGAAAGCTTTCTATGCCGATATAATTATCTTACTTTTATGATCAGAGCATATATGGGCATATAAGTCTGTATGTATCCTATTTAATCCTTAAGAGGTGGGCCAGGCTCAACAAAGCTTTGCACAAACATTGTCACACATATAGCAATCTTTAATAATTTATGTTTTTAAAAAACATTTTGTATAAATCCCAATACTTTTGATTTTTGTATTCATCCCCCTGTGAGTGTAAAATTGTGTTCTCTGTTTGTATTTGTTTCACATGGCACATTAAACATACATAACCTAAAGATCACCAAAATTTGTATCTGTGGCAGAATTTTGTTCAAGTTATACTAAAGAAGGAATGAAGAATTTGAAAAACCACCCCAGGGCTGACAAAAACTGCCTATAGGGTGGGTTTTTGCTGGTAAATATAAGGCTTGAGTCAACAACCAGTTAGCTTAGCATAACCACTAGAAAGAGATGGACTTAGCTAGCTAAACAAAACCCAAATTAAGTCCAGTGATAACAAGAAAATAAGGTTTAAAGACTCTGAAACTTTGCTATCACTTTAGGATAGTTAAAAAACCAGCCTGACTAAGTTCTGTGGTTCTGAGTTAACACACACACATGTTAAGCTATGCTACGTTAACCAGTAGCTAGTTCAGGCTTCATCAATTTTCATGTCTAACCTCTAATAGCAGATAACTTTCCCATGTATCAAACTGATCTTGTAGCAATAATGTGGTTATAAAAAAATCTTTAATCAAACAAGCCCATTACCATGAAAAGGAAGAAAGCCAGAGTTTATTTCCCCGGTTCTCTACTCACAGGAATACCACCGAAGCCAAAGTCTTCTTTCTCACAGAAGCCATTTTTCACGTGGAATAGGTAAACACAGGCGTTCCTAATGACATTAAAGAAGGTTCTGTTATATTCAGGTACAGAGGCTCATTATTAAATGTCATGGCTAACACATGTGTTTACACACTATTTCATGTGAAAAATGACACCACTGAAAAAGGGTCTTTTCAGAAATGCTCTGTGAACCTGTGTGCTCAGTGTGGCCACAGTTTGACATGTTGTCAATGATACCTCAGTACGTGACCTGAGGTAGTAGCAATCATCAACCAGAGTCAGGTGTATTTTTAAACACGTTCTCATGTAATAGTAAAGTTCTGCTAATATGCAGCACTTCACTTTAAATAACATAGTTTTGACCCTGCTTTCAGAGGTCAGACATGACGCCACCCCTGTTAAGAGGTACATTATTCCTTTGTTAAGAGGGAGACTTCAGTATGTAGTGCTGTCCCAAAGCTCTTGTGCATGAACTAGAATGTTGTGCATCCTAAAGAATCTCAATGGTGGTCCATTTTATTTTAGACCTTGTTGTTGTAGTTACCACCAGTGCGATCTTTACTTTACAGCTGACACGCAAAGTGCAGAATATCACCTTGCTTGGCGGTCCTCATCTGATCTTGTTAACGCAGGCTTCAACTTATGTCTTTACTTTGGACAGAATGACAGACACTGAAAGAAATTTTCTTCTCACTGTAAACAGACAGTGTTCCAGACAAAGATCCAGCTTGATGTGGTTGCGGCTGTCAAACAAAGCCATCTGACTGAACATATCCTCCCATTCCTATCGCATTAAATTATGTCCGTGTGCGCTCTCTAATAGAGTCTGCCTCCACGGACTTTTACATGCAGTTTTTTTTGACTGTGCGCAGATGTTTGCTGTAAATCTTGAGACTTTTCCAACTGGAGAAACTAGAAAGAAATACTGACTTTAACTAATGTAAAGTGTCTGAGTTGACTGAGACAGTGCAATGTTCATCTGGCCACCTTGACTTTACAGGCAGTAGATGAGATACTGAGCTGTTTGTGTAGTGCCACTCCATAATCGGCCTGCTGTTTATCAAAAATGTTTGAGAGGGTGTGCCTCAGTAGCATGCATTTTCTCTGCTTTGTTCTTAGCAGACACAACATTTGTCATTCTCAGGCCTGTTGAGTGAAAGGTCCAAAGTTGCTTTCAGCAGGTAAGCGTAAAGTTTCAGTTTGACTTCCTTCTTCTCCTTCTGCCCTTGCAAAGGTTATACAAGAACGTCTGGCTAACGTGCTGAAACATCACTGTCCATCATGATCAGAGCATCACTCACTGCCATCTGCCTTGGTGAGCAACCCATTTGTGTGTCTGCAGGCTATACTGTTTTCAAATACATCAAGGTTGACTACTATAATATCTCCATCAGGCTTTCTGCACATTAACACCATCAAATAGCAGTCTCCTCTGTCATTGAGGTCTTGTGTGTACAGTAAACATACTGATGATTATGATCATTTGTCTGCTGTTACATGAAACTCCCTCTGCCTCACCCTCAGCGCTCCTCCTGTCGTACCAATGCTGGGCCAAGCCTAACGGACCAAAGAATAAGAAACCAAAGCAAGGTAGGCATCGTTGCCGAACAAGCCTCAGTGTCCTGCTTCAGTTAGGGGTCACTAAACAAGCAAAAATAAACCCATAATATTAAAGAATATTGTATGACTGCATTGGTTTGCAGGCAAAAAGCTGTGTGTATAGCAGCTGAGGTTAAAATTGGGCTGAAGTTGGCTTAAAAATGTGGATTTTTACACCAAACGTTTGTTTCTACAGCTTCTTACTCTATATATGTTAACGGTCTGAATTACATGTTGAAGTATAATCAACAAATACTTTCAAGGGACAATTTTATTCTTGATTAATCAATAAAATGTAAGTAAATGTTATGAAAGAAGCAAAACTGTTTGGAAATGAAATCTAAAAACATTATGATCCTGTCTTCCTTTTCTTCTTTCATTGACAGTGATTCCAGCTGTAGAGTGCGATGTCAGAGCAGGAAAGGTCAATCTCCCAGAGTTCATAGTAAAATGTCCCCCACGCTGTAGGGAAACCAGACAGCAAGTCTATGGGACAGGAGTGTTTGCCTCCATCTCCAGCATCTGCAATGCAGCCATCCACAGGTTAGCATTGGAGTGATGACTCTAAAAAAAATGAATGGGTGAAATCAAAACTATCATTTAACAGTAAAAAATTGGTTTCCACAGTGGCGTAATCACCAATTCAGGAGGAAAGGTGATAGTGAGGAAGATGGCTGGACAGAATGTCTACAAAGGCAGCAACTCCAACGGCGTGCGCTCTCTGTCTCTGCCTAAATGGAGGGAATCATTCGTTGTCTCGGGTATAAAGTCAACAAGGTTAAATACAGTTCTTTAGAAGTCACTCTCCAGCTAAATGCCAACTTTGTTGTGTTTCAGTGGGCAAGCCTAAGAAGGGAGTCATCTACCCATCTACTCTGGATTACGTCCCTTCAAGACCGACCTATGTGAAAACAAGTGAGAGGAGGTTATTTTTACCCTCATAGCAAGTTTTTATGTGAATTCATGTTTTCAGTGCATGAGCTGAGAGAGTTTCAGATATAGAGTACCAGAAAAAAAGGATTGGTATCATGCATTTTTTTCTGATAATTTTATTAAGGAAACTTAAATGTTTTTTGGGTAAACTTCAAAGGTTCATACACTATATTACCAAAAGTATTCACTTGTCTGCCTTCACACACATATGAACTTGAGTGACACCCCATTCTTAATTCATAGGGTTTAGTATGATGTCAGTCTACCCTTTGCAGCTATAACAGCTTCAAGCTTTCTGGGAAGTCTTTCCATAAGGTTTAGGAGTGTGTTTATGGGAGTTTTTGAACATTCTTCCAGAAGCTCATCTTTAAGGTTAGACACTGATGGTGAGGAGAAGGTGTGGCTCACAGTCTTCGCTCTAATTCATCCCAAAGGTTTTCAGGACTCTGTGCAGGCCAGTCAAGTTCTACTAAGAGTTCCTGTCACTGGAACTAAGGGGGTCGAGTCCAACTCCTGAAAAACAACCCCACACCAAAATTCCCCCCCCACCAAACTTTACACTTGGCCTAACCCAGACTCATCCATTGGATTGCCACATGGAGAAGCATGACTCGTCACTCCAGAGAGCACAACTCCGCTGACAGTGGCAGGATGCTTTTCACCAACGCTTTGCATTGTACATGGTGATAGAAGACTTGGATGCAGCTGCTTGGCCATGGAAACCAATTATATAAGGCTCTCTACAAACTGTTCTTGAGCTAATCTGAAGGCCACGTGATGTTTGGAGGTCTGTAACAACTGACTCTGCAGAAAGTTGGCGGCCTCTGCGCGCTATACGCCTCAGCATCCATTGACTCCGCTCTGTGATGCTACACGGCCTACTACTGCTTGGCTCAGTTGCTGTAATTTCCAATCACCTCTACTTTGTTATAATTCTACTAACAGCTGACTGTGAAATATTTAGTTCATGAGTGGACTTGTTGCACAGGTGTGATCCTATCACAGGACCATGCTCGAGTCATTGAGCTCCTGAGAGCGACCTGTTCTTTTACAAATGTTTGTAGAACAAGTCTGCATACTTAGGTGCTGGATTTTATATACCTGTAGCCATTGAGGTGATTGAAATGCCTGAGTTCAATGATTTGGATGGGTCAGTTAGTACTTCTGGCAATATAGTGTATCACCTTGTGCGATAGATGGCTGGTCAGAACAATTTAACATGAGAACTTAAAAGATTCTCAAACAAGCAGTGAAGGTACTAAATTTCTAAAGATAGATATTTTCATCTTTATTGTTATCTAATAGTGGTGCATAGCATAAATTATCTGGTAATTGTGTTTACATTTAAATACTATTTAACTACCAAAATGATATTAAAATAAAGCATGTAGAACTTTTGCTTTCCAACCAAGTCTTGCTCAGTGTTAACCCTGGTATCAAAGCATCTGTTGGCACCAGATCAATGCTTTCTGGGGACAAAAGGTTAGTAGATAGACATCCCGGCGCTTGACTTTGGCATGATGAGCTTTGCTCAGGCTGAGTGCTGCAGGCTGGTGAAGAATGTTAAGAATGCATTACAACACAGAAGTTACTGTAGACCTTCTTCCTCTCTATCCATCTTCATCGTGCACCACTGCCTTTGTCTGTTTTCTTTCAGATCAAAAGGAGACCACGATGCTTCCTCCAACATCAACAGCACCTGAACCCACCACAACAACTCCTGAACCAACCACGACCACTACCACCACACCGACTCCCACCACTGCTTCCACCACTACACCTCCACCCCCTACTACCAAGGCTCGACCCGTTGTACATAAAGTGAGGGAAGCAGGTGAATGAAGCAAACACTTAAATGACTTCTGTACCAAGAGTGAAATCGTTTGTGCGCTGCCAAGTTGACATTAACTAATAACATTAGCAGTAACTACAAATACCAGAAGAAGCATTCATTAGTGTGCAGCTGACTAATAAAGTTGGATGATTGTAGATGGTAATTGCAAGCGACAACTGCAATTAAGACAAATTATATCTGCTCTGCGATGAAGTTAATATGATGCTGTTCAGTTACTAACAGCATATATGATCAGCAGACCTTTCATCACTCTCATTAAATGAAAAGATTATCAGACAGTAATCACTGAGTCATCTGCCCCGTTTTGGATAGAAATACAGCGATAGTGAGTAGACAATGCTACAGTATCATAAGGTATGTGTGCAAATTACATGGGCTATGTGCCAGACAACCTTCCAGCTATTTCTCTCCCTTTCATTTTCTGTAACATTATCTCTCTTCACTCCATATCGGCACTCCATTTGTCTTTCTTCCATCCAGGCAGCATTCACCCATACCTTGCCCATGCGGCAGCTTCAAATTCAAGTAAGTAAAAGGAAGCAAAGAGGGACTGACAATATTTGTCTTTGTGGTGTGAGGGTTTCTGGTGGTGTTGCTTCAAGCTGCTTTAAGGTACGCAGGAATAAATATTCACATAAATATTGTCTCTTGAAGCCGTCAGTGGTCATGCATTCAAACCAAGTTTGTCACTGTCAGTGGCAAACTTGTGTAGTGAAGTTCAGATCAGCTAACTTGTTTTAAGTAGAAAACTTAAAACAGGAATGTTATGACTGGGGCTACTGGGTTATAGTCCATTCAAAATAATAAAGAGTTCACTAATCTTTTTGGTAACTTACATGTAAACATCGATTTATGTCTAAATTTGCCCACATTGTGTCATATTGTGTTAGGACAGTCACAGAGTGGTCAAAGAAAGAGTCCCAGCCAAGGTATGTGAACACTCTCGCTCAGTGTGCAGCTCATGGAAAGTCTTTCAAGCAAGCAATTCAAATGTAACTAAACCATGGCATTTCTTCAAAGTATTCAGAGGAGGTTCCTATTCACATAGAGTTCCACAACGTGCCAGTGCAGGTAAACAGATTTCTAATTTTGATGTCTTCTATCTTATTCTACCTACATCCACATTTCCTCTGTCTTCCTTTACTTTGTTTTTTCCTGTTTCCTGTTTCCACATATGTTTTCAATAATTTTCTAACAACATCCAGACCGGATTCTGCTGTCCTGTTCAAGTAATGAACTATTTGAACTGCTACTATATTCAAAGTATATTGTGTTGGAAACTAGTAGATTTAAAGGACTCTTGTTTAATATGTTTACTCGCTTCATATTAATTTCAACTTGTGTTTATTGGCAAAATCCACTGGCTATCCTGAATGAGCCCCCAAATATTTTACAAGCTGTAAACTGATGGCTCAGAGGAGCCTGCCGAATAAGATGGCACAAGACTGATGCAGGTCAGCAAATGTTTTGTTGGATTATTTGTGGAAATTAGTGTTGTCAGCGTTAATCTCGTTAAAATGACATAACTGCATTAACGTGGCAAATCTCCGTTAGCGATTTGCCACGTTATGGCATTAGCGTCATTTTAACAGCACTAGTGGAAATAAAATTATTTGCAAAGATGGACTACACAGAAAAGGGAAAAGGGGGACCCTGAACCAACCACAGAGTGGGGGCATAAGATTCAGGCCTCTTTTCTAAACTAACATTAGTAAGATAAACTAATAAAACCAAACCAAAACCAGGTAACTCCGAAGATGATAGATGCCCTGAGGGGGTGCGTTACAAACCTATCATATCATGAATAACATACAAATGTGGTGTCATTTTATTATATTCATGCTTTCTTGTTATATGTTTCTTTCTTCATTGTGGTCTCAGGTATACACAAACAAGAGCCAGGGTCGCCTGTCCGGAGGCAGCCATCCTCACCAGTTGGTGCAGGTCAGCCTTGTCATTAGCACCCACATAGACACATGTACAGAGCTACAAACAGGTAGGCTTGATGGAGCTGGTGGGGCTGGGGTCAAGAGAAACAGGGGTTACTGATGTCTTTGTTGGAAAAAGAATCCAGGAGAAGTATGAATGGTGTAAGTTTGACCCTGGTGTTGACACTCATAAGCTCCTGTGATCTTCACCCCAGGGTCACCACTAATCCGCTCTATCAAGCATCTCAGCTAACATTCCTTTCACCATAACTGCTGTTCTCTGCCCTCAGGCACATCCTCTTACTCATATTTTCATTTTCCAACATGAAAAGAGGCAAATGAGGAATAGTTACACCCAGCATATATCTTATTGTTTTCGATATCATGCTGTGGGCAAGCTTCAGCTTCACTCAAAGCAAAGCAGCTGGGCTGTATTTGTAGATGAAGCCCCAGAACTGAAGCGCTCTTCTTTCCCCTTTCCCCCCTTCCTTTTCCTCTCTCTCTCGTTCTGCCTGTTTCTCATTGCTACAAATAGGTTTTAACAGGGTTCAGCCTGCCCAGCCTGAGCGAACTCCAACCATGAGCCAGTCCAACCCTGGTAAGTATCTCCAGATCCAGAGTGGTAGTCCACAAAGTGCTCATGCACTGACGTAGTACATATACAGGTCAGATCAAACAGGGGAAGAACTATGGAAGTAAAACCCTGTTTGAAATGTTTTATAAAGCAGCACTAATGTTTACCGTCTGTGGGACGCTATGGTTCAATGCATGAGCCTGCTTTCTTTAAAAGAGGTGTGGAAATCAAAGATGCTCAACTTTCACCGTACCCAGCAGTAAAGAATGAAGTTTATATACCTTAAAGGTGAGAGATGATATAATATCACTGCCATGCCATATTTATGCCATATTTTCACAAAGTCCAGAATAACTTTCAGTTTGAACTAAGACCAGGATGAGAAATGTGTTCTGTCAGTACAGTAATAACAATGTATGACAGATCCCATCTGGTCTGGGGTCTTCCCCTCCCTTGTAAATACTTTGAGAAAGGAAGGGAGAGATGAAAGCAGTAGCACCAAGTGGCCTTGTGCTGTTCCCAGAGAGACGTCTGATCCAGTCCACAGTGCTGCAGGACCTGGGTCCGCTGAGTAGCTTGTCAAGAATAGAAAGCTCTTTGCCATTCAAACCAGGCGAGGTTTGGCTCACTGAGCAATGTGCTTCTGTTTTTCTTCCGAGGAATGCAAAACCATGGATCCCTAAAATTATACACATTTTCCTAAAGTCCAGTTTAAATGTTGTCTGATCATAAGGTTTGATGATCTGAGGTCAAACCTAAACCCACTGAGATGTTGATCAATGCAGAAAAGAGGTGTTAAGTTGGGCATTTGGTGAGAATAATGCAATTTTTAAATTTATTGAATCCCTGAGGGGAAATTCTTTGAGCTGGAAGAGGTCAGAGGTGAGCATCGGCCTCACAGCAGACCCCCTGGAGACGGCAGGGATTCACTGTCTTTCTCAAGGACACACTTGAAAGGTAGATGCTTGCTGACTTTGACATTTCGGACTATGATTTATGAGCTGAAGGATTTTCTCCGCAGTCGCTTTGCCACCCCGCTGCTTCAAACAGATGTTTGAATTTATCGGTCACACAAGTGAAAAAGTTTTGATCCAGCTGAGCCTTGTATGTGTCGGCTTTCACACCCACAAAGATCCATTCTGTCCAATGGGCCTCTTCCAACAAGTCTCATGCAGACATGTTAGTAATGCTTCAGGCATACCATACAATACCCAAAGTGAGACTGAGTGACCCCCGGGCCCGTGGTGACCGTCTGCCCGTGGTGATCGCTGAGGTGGCTATGATCTAGAGAGTTAAACTCAATCCTTATAAAGCACCTGCTTCATTAGAAAAAAATAACACTGCTGTCTGCTGTATAGCGCTGGGCCTTTGACCAGCACCAGATTAGCCTAATCTCTGCGTCCTACTATCTACACTGACCCTAGTTTGACACCAACTTTAGAATAATACTCCCACGCTTCACTGGACGGCATGCTGGGCTCTCCCAGCCCGTCCTGGTCAACAAAGGCCCTGCTTACTGGCTGCCACTGGATGGGAACCTCAAAGCCCAGTCTGTGTGTTTGTGTAAGCTGCCCATCCACCACAGAGAGGGGTTAGCTGAAGTGTGTTGTCATGGCTCAGTCAGTATAAACAGATGAAATGCACTGTTATGGTTTTGCTCCTCTGTAAGGGATTCTGGCAATAAAGCCTATTTCAATTAACCTTATGAGGCTAGTTAACCCGATCAGTGTTGTTAGCTGCTCTCTAAGTAGAAACCTTGTGTGAATGCAGAAGATCCAAACATTTTTTTATCTTCCTTTTTCTCTTTTCCCTTAAGGAAGAAAGAAAAATTGCTAAACTTTCCTAAAGCAGGCTTTGGTCACTCAGTCTGTGTCTGAGTGGCTCCTTCATGTTTACTGTCTGACTCAAGGCTAAACATCTTGTCCAACCTCCACAAATAAAGTGGTTTGTGGAGTCACAAGTATGCGCCTCCCCGATGCTTGTCCTGAATGCAGCTTTCTAATCTTCTCACCCCTCCGTACAGCTTTACCCAGAAGGGATTGGCCACTCCCCTCTTTTCCTCATCCCGATTGGTTCCCTGGAGCTCGCCGACCAGCAGGTACCAAGCACAAAGGCAAACAGATAGATCAGGCTACATGTGGAAATCATAAATATTTTCTAAACTGACTAAACAGTGATTAGTGTTCAAAGTAATCAAGCAACTCCATCCTTTAAAGAACTCTTTAAAAAATGTTAATAAAACCTGAAAAATCTATGAAGCACATGAATCCACTGGCTGCTATGAAAACCTTTACGTATAATGAATTTTTAAAATGATCACATTAGGTTAAAACGATTTTAGAGGTGATGATTTATAGAAAAACTGCAAAAACATGAAAGCTGTTTTATTTCTGGTGGTTCACTTTGCCACATCATACTGTTAGAACAATGAAAATCAAATCATCCGTAGTTTTATTACAAGTAATGTCACTAATTATTTGATGTAGATAGGCTCACACCTATAAATTTACCTTTTTGACTTCTTAAACATGTGTTACATTTTATGCATAAAGATGTGTTTAGCCATCCATTGTTTTTCAAGTAGGCAAGTTTTTCCTTTCCTTAAAAACTAATACAGTTTTAACCTTAATGAGTACACTGAATGCAGGGAACAGCATATTTACTTGTATGTTGCATGGACCTACGAACAATTCTATTCAGACTTAAAAACCAATTAAATGTGTTGGAGAGTAACATACTTTACTTAATTCCAAGACACTTTTACTTTGAGTATATTCATTTTATGACACTTTTACTATGACAAAGGGAAATGTACTTTTTACTCTGCTTCATTTATCTGACAGATCTACTCACTGGTTGTTTTATAGCAGATCAGGACTTTAAAATATGATGTGATAATAATAATGGTAATAATATGGACATTTACTGCATAGAGGAAATTTTTCCAGTGCCATAAATGTCACCTGACAGTATACGGGATGGTCCACCTGCAATATTTCATCATGAGTAAAAGCAGTGTAAGATATAAAGATAAAACCTGATAGAGCCCAGAGATCAGATTTTTCCAGAAACATTGACATTAAGCAAGAGTAAAATGGCTTTATGCAATAATGTCATGACCAATAACTCAGTGCAGATGCCCTATTAACACACCTTTATTGATTTATTGAGACAATTTTACATGCAGAAGCCATTTGTATCATTACCAGGAGCACCTGTTGGTGCAGGAACAGGTTGCTGTTGCTCATCATGGTGCAGACTGTCATCCAGCAGTGTTCTGTGCTCTTTTAAATGCAGTCGAAGCTTATGTAAAGCTGTTACATCACCTGATGCTTCTCTTACTTATACAATGTAGTTGCATTCAATGAAATTTACACATCAGAGTTTCAGTTAAATGACCTCGATCAACTAACTGTCAGATCTGGGGTGCCCACATGGGGTAGAATTAAGGCTGCAAATGTTCACTCTAATTAGCTAATGAGAAGATAATTATTCTGAGCAGCTTGTATGTAGCTCTTTTTTCTGCTCATGCCTCCACCTTCTCTGCTGTACATTCAGATGTAAGTTATGCAGCTCCAGACTCAGGATACGCTTGGAGTGAGACCGGCACACCTGAGGTTACAGGTAAGTCGGCTTTCTTTCTGTCTTTATTGGCCTCTTTACTGCAGGCTACTACACATTGTATGCATTTGTGTTGCATGTGCTAACGCAGCATGCTCATGTGACTGATACAGTTTGGTATCTGCTGACCATGTATGTGTTGAAATTGACTCCATGTGTAAGTACATGCAATGTGTCTCTCGGGACATTATGTTTACATGCCATCTGCCTGCCATATGGGAGACTCTTTGAAGTGCAAAAGAGAAGAGAGCAGGGCAGGTTTATTGTGCATGTGAGAGCGAAATAATGTGAGGTGATAATTCTGCATAAAGCCATTGTTTTCACTGGTCTGGGATCGGTTGGGGAGAACATACCAACCAATCACAACCATGAAAATGTGTGCTTCTCCCTCTGAAGTTCTGTCTATACTAACGGGTCTCAAAACATCCTCCTCTAGCTCGGGATTACAGGCCTGATATCTCAGAATATGAGCGCTGGTATTATAACCTTGGACAATACCGTAAGTGTTTTCCTTTTATTTCATTTTTGGGAACTAACAAGCCTTCCGGTTTGATGTTGTTAAATGAGTGGGTTGGGATCATGTAAAAGCTGTTTTTACATGTACGGGAGTAGCTTTGTATGCAGAGCGCAGCATATTTCACAAAAATGTTGAACTTTTCATTGAAATGCTTTGAAGAACGAACACATTTTATTTGTTTTCTTTCACACTAAAAATACACTTACAATACGGCCCAGTGACAAAACACAAAAGGGCGTGCAAAAAGATTACAGGCCCTGGTTCCGTCTGTTTGAAGACACAGCCGAGCATCCGAATCCAGAGGGATATGGTTTGGAAAACCGAGTGGCTTAGCCATTTTCAGGGTGTACCACAAAAATAGCACCACACATCCAACCAAATGAAACATGGAGCCAGTAAGGACAGGCTGTAATGCTATGGTGTGGTTTTGTCTTGTGTGTCATGGTTCACCATCACTGACAATTTACTTTCAGTGCAGCGACCTGCTGACTCGGATCGTAAAATAATGGATACGGCCAACACTAAAGGTGAGGAGGGGTTAGTATGACTGCAGCTGTTTGCATCCAGAAAGACATGTATCCATCCATCTATCTTTAAAAAAAAAAAACACTTTAAAATAGGGCTGTGCGATATGACCAAAATCTCATATCCCGATATAAGAATTCTATCGTCCGATAACGATATAAATCACAAAAATGTAACATTTTCTGTAAATTCTGTGAATCTCGGGCAGCTCGACTTGCGTGAAGTGTTTCCAGCTGCGCGTCATGTAGCTGGAGTCGAGTGTTTTAACAGATGCATGAAACGATACATTTTTAGACATAAGTTGTAAAGGCCGCTGTTTTCTTTGTGAGTATTTATTACACGGCGTGCTGCGGGGAAAAGCCTGTTCTAACGTTTGAGTCTAAGGTTTATTTTTTAGCACCTGGCGGCTCTTTTTTACTTCTCATCCGTAAATAATCTGCTCTTTCACGTGATTCAGTTTATTTTGAAAAGTCTCAACAGGATCTTGAGCTTTATTGTGAAAGGTTTATGTGGTACATAAACAAGCGGACACGCGATGGTGTTACCGTTGTTGTTGCTAACGACAACAGGCGCTTGTACATCCGTAGTGTGGTTATATTACATATAAGAGAAAGAGAGAACTTTAAGAAATTACACTACAGTGACCATCAAAACGGTGAAAAAATATTGCCGTAAACAGTTTATTTTGCGACACCACGAAACAAACGATTGCGTAAAATGAAACGATAGACGTTTTTATATCGTCATCCGATATATATATCGTTATATCGAACAGCCCTACTTTAAAAAACAGAAAGTGACACAAAGTGCTTTATATTGAAACTAAATAATAAAAATACATAAGATATGTCATTAGCTCAAGTTAAAAGATGTTTCTGACTTCTGCTGTTTTCTATATGGGATTTGTGTTGAGTGTTGTGAAATTGTTACCTGCTGCTCTGCGATAAAAGTGCGCTAACGCTGAGCTTGTGTGATGTCATCTGCGCAGTGGAGCCGGTGGACGCCTGGAATCCAGAAGCGCCACCTTATGAATTAGGTAAGATTGCTTGTCCGCTCCCCTAAAACAGTCGCTTTGCCAGTAAATCCCGAGTTCTCACTGTAAATACAAACCACTCTGACGCCATCCACGGAAGAGCATCTGGATTTCTGCTCAGCCTGTAATTGAAGGAGTCGAATGGTGTGGTTGTTTGAGGGTAAAATCGGTTGCTGTTTGGCTCGATATTTGCCACAACAAATACTGGCCAACATTTGGCGACTCCAGAAAATGGGCAGCTGGAAATTTTTACCAAACAAACTACCGGGTTTATTCTACAAAAGCAGACATGTGCTCTCGCTCCATTACAAAGCATGAATGCATTGCCTTGGATCTTATAAATATTATTGGACTAAAAAGGACGGGTTTAGTTGTGCACTCAATTATTTTTTGTTACATTTCTTCTTTCCTGTAATAAAAGAATATAGAGTATTTGTTTATTAGCTAAAATGTTCCTTTTGTTTCTTGGTTTCCAGGCTTCAGTGTGAGGGAGCAAGAACCTCTCCGCAAAGCTCCTGAGCCTGTGTCACAGGGAAACCCAGGTATGGTCCCCATACTGCTTCAATGAAACTGTAGCGAGAAGTGTTTGTGTTTTTCACTGTATTTTCTGTATAAACTAAGTGGCCACTTTGTTAGGTACACGTGTCCAAGTGCATATTAATGCAAAGATCTAAGCAGCCAGTCACAGCACAGAACTGCTGAGCTGAGCGCTGATAATCTATTTTCAACATTGCATAAAGTCTCTTGATCCACTGCTTCGATAGAAACACCTGCTTAGCTGCTCATTACTATAAAGATTAAATCAGCCAATCACACAGCAGCAATTCAGTGCATCTAGGCATGAAGATAAGGGCAAGACCACCTGCTGAACTGATCAGACCGGACATCAGAATGGGAGAGAGTGATTTTAAACATTGCATGGATTTTGGCATCAGATGGGCTGGTTTGAGTATTTCAGATGATCTACTGAGATTTTCCTACACAATCTTCTCTAAGGTTTACAGAGAATGGTACAAAAGAGAGAAAATATCGAGTGAGCAGTGGTTCTCTGGGGGAAAATGTCTTGTTCATGTCAGAGGTCAGAAGAGAATGGCGAGACTGCTTTGAGCTGACAAGAAGGCAGCCTAAATGCACAAAGAGTGAAACCTTGAAGCAGATGGGCTACAACAGCAGAAGACCACACCGGGTGCCACTCCTGTAGGCTCAGAGCAAGAAAACGGAGGCTATAATTTGCGCAAGCTCACCAAAATTGGATAATAGAAGATGGGAAAACTGCTGATTTCTTCCTGACATTTAGATAGCAGAGCTGTATTTGGTATACAGGATATGAAAGCATGTATCCATCCCGCTACATGTCAGAAGATCAGGCTGCTGGTGGTGTAATAGTGGTGGTGGTGGTGAGGGGCACTTAGTACCAACTAGCAGTCACTTAAACACAACAGTCTACCTGAGTGTTGTTGCTTACCATGTCTGTCCTTTTATGCCCACAGTGTACTCATCTAACACACAACATAACACACAGTGTCACAAAGCTCTAACATGAACATGACAGTGAGTTCACTGTACTCAAATGGCCTCCACAGTCACCATATGTCAATCCAATAAAGCAGCTTTGAGATGTGTTGGTGCAGGAGATTCACATCATGGATGTGCAGCAACTGTGTGATGCTGCCGTGTCAATAATGTCTGAGGAATATTTCAAGCTCCTTCTTGAATCTGTGTCATGAAGAATTAAGGCCGTTCTGAGTGTATAGTTGTAGCTACCTCATGATATTTGGATCTAATAACATGAATTTGTGTAACAGATTGTAAGGTGGATCTGGCCTTTCTGATGGATGGGAGCTGGAGCATTGGAAAGCGGCGTTTTAAGATCCAGAAAGACTTCCTAACTGAGGTGGCTCAGACCATCAATGCGGGTGTGGCAGGCCCCATGATGGGCATCATCCAATACGGGTAACCTCTTTGTTCTTTTTGTGTTATCTTGTACTAGCTTTGGATGACAAAAAATAGTGAAACTGCTGGTTGTCTTGTCTCGAAGAGATGACCCTGTGACAGAGATCAGCCTGAAGACTCACTCCAGCTCCAGAGAGCTGAAAGCAGCCATAGATAAGATTGTGCAGAAAGGAGGCCTCTCCAATGTGGGTAAGCGACCCTCTGCGTCAGCTGCCAGCCTACACAGCACATGCCTACAAACACAAGTGTGAAAGGGAAAGGGGTGCAATTATCGCATGGTTTACTAGCCAGGCACATTTTCACATGCAAGTATAGAATTAAATCTAAATTTGCTGCGAGACAGTGTTAGCAAAATTACAGTCCTGATCCTGTAGGCCGTGTTTTTCCTCTGCTCTGACCAAAATGCGCTCGGTTTTAGCAGCCCGGTTAAGGGGCAGCTTTCAGAGAGCATTTGCGGTTTTTCTGCTTTGGTTGGTGCGTCAGCATGCATCCACTGCCACATGTGCCTTTATGACTTGCTAAATTTTGCATGCCGATCCAAATAGTGTTGTTTGCGTTTGCCCAGAAGTTCTCTCTAATCATATAACAGTGTGAGTGGCTGTAAAACTTTCTAGTCTCCAGCAGAGCCATTGTTAAGACCACCGACGAGACTGTAATAGACTAAATGATAGGTATCCACATTTTTGTGATTATGCACAGTTTGAGCTATGCATCCCATAGAGAAGCAAAATATATGTACTTTACTATGTAAAGTTTTTATATGGCATTCAGTATTTTCTGTGTAAAAGTCAATTTTGTGTCATTTTATATTCCAGCCTATTATTTACATAAAGGATGAGTTTAAGCTTTGTGATTAAATGACTGTTTTTATACTCCTCAGCTTTCTGTCCCAGACTTGCATATACAATAAAACCATTAAGAATCTCCCCGTTGCCCCCTGGTGTCTTGACAGGAAAAGCCCTCCACTACATCAACAAGCACTACTTCAGTGATGCCAATGGAAACCGAGGAGGAGCTCCAAACGTGGCTGTGATATTAGTGGACGGTTGGCCCACAGACAAGGTGGAAGAGGCGTCTCGACTCGCACGCGAGTCCGGCATCAACATCTTCTTCGTCACCATCGAGGGTCCCGACGACAATGAGAAGCAGAACCTTGTCGAGGCCAACTTTGTTGACAAGGTAGGTGACACACGCCGTCTCAGAAGTGTGCCTGTGCTTCGTGATAGAAATCAAAGCAGTTTAAAGCACGGTGTGTTGTTTTGTCCCGCAGGCCGTGTGCCGGACGAACGGCTTCTTCTCGCTTCCTGTGAACAGCTGGTTTGCCCTGAGGAAAGCCGTGCAACCCCTGGTGAAGAGAGTGTGCGACACAGACCGCCTGGTGTGCAGCAAAACCTGCCTCAACGCCAACGACATCGCCTTCGTCATAGACGGCTCCAGCAGCGTGGGGACCGGCAACTTCCGCACGGTGCTGCAGTTTGTGGCCAACATCACGCGGGAGTTCGAGATCTCAGACACGGACACGCGGGTCGGGGCTGTGCAGTACACCTACGAGCAGAGGCTGGAGTTTGCCTTCGGCCAGTACAACAACAAAGCCGAGCTGCTGAACGCCATCAAGCGCATCAACTACTGGAGCGGCGGGACCAGCACCGGTGCTGCCATCACCTACGCGGCAGAGCAGCTTTTCAGCAAATCCAAACCCAACAAACGCAAGATCATGATTGTCATCACGGATGGACGCTCTTATGATGATGTCAGGGCGCCGGCACTGGCGGTCCATCGCCAAGGTCAGACATCATCTGTAACAGAATCTGAAAAATAAGGCTGAAGTTAAGGATCAATGATGCAAACAGTTGTTTTCTCTGTTGTGTGTCAGTCCACAGTTTGGTGTAAATTGCTGTCTGTTTGATGTGAAAAACAGTGTGTGTGTGTGTAATCTGCTCTCCCTTCTCATGATCTAGGTGTGATTGCTTACTCCATCGGCATCGCCTGGGCAGCCCAGGATGAGCTGGAGTACATCGCCACAGACCCCGACAAGGAGCACTCCTTCTTCGTGGATGAGTTTGACAACCTCTACAAATTTGTACCCAAGATCATCCACAACATCTGCCAGGAGTTCAACTCTCAGCCCAGAAACTGAGGACGTACGTGCCGAGAGGCCTGTCCGGATCCGAGGCTTTAGTAACAGAGCACTGCTGGTAAATTTACTCACTCTGTCGCCCAGATGGCAGTGCTAGATTGGCTGCAGTGCCCCATATTTGAAGAGGGAGGGGTTTGAATGTAGGTGGGGGCAAAAATACATGAAAAAGAATTTTTATCCCAAATATTCAGATGGTGCTAATGTTAAAGGATTGGCACGCAGTGTGACAAACTGGCATCACAGCTGTGGTGTGGTGCCAGCTGTTTTCTGTCTGGAGACAAGTTTTTAACAGTTGGAATAGCACCAGTAAGTCACCCATTATAAAGGCTTTATAAGTTGCTACTTGTCTTATTAATGCTAGAAAATTTACTAATGCTTTACAGAACGCCTAATCTTTCATACTTGGTATGCAAGAAATCTGTTTGCAAGCAAGCATGGCTTCAGGGTACATTTTAATCCATCTAGGTGCAAGTACAGCAAGACAGTTGAAAACATGTGAAGTGCGACGCCCCAGTTGTATGCATACTACATGCAAAAGTAGCAAGCACAGACAGCGAGCCAAGCTGGTAAGAACAAGCCAGCATTTGGGTTGCCAGGTTGTGATATTTCCTCCTATATGGCGCTTTATCTCCTTTAGCATGAAACTTTTGGCAAACGAGAAAAAAGCTGCACAACAAACGCTTCAATTAGCAAGTTCTCCATGTTAAGTAAATATTTAATAATCTAAAATTGTGACCTCAAACTTATAAAAGGATATTAAAAGACCATTTCCACTGCTTGTCAGGCCTAATGTTATGTTTAAAACTGGGCATTAGTACATTATTCATTAACATTAGTGTAGCGCTTTTTGTGTGACTTGTAGTGCCTTTTTGAAGGGTGACTTAGTGGGAAATAAACATACTGTAAGACTGTCTTTCTGGGGTATGGTGCTTGCAGAGAAATGTAGATTTAAAGCATGCCTAGCACTTCCTCTTATGGCTTAAAAACCTTCATAAATCTAATAGCGCGATGCTTTTTACAATTCTCTGTAAAGAGAAAATACTGTATTAGAGATGGTGCATTTTAATCTTCCTAATAGGAGAGATTTGATTGTAGGAACATTGTTTGGGTTCCTAAGAGACTAAGGTGCTGAGATGATTTTTACATGCAACCAAAAAGTGGAGGTGAAAGGCAAAGCAACAACACGGATGTGGACTTGTGTGAAAAGTAAGCTTGTTTATCTTTGTAAAGAGTGACGGCAGATCCCAAATCTGCTTCTTATCAGGAATAAAAGCAACTCATGTTAATCTTTATTTTCTAACAGTGCTCGCTTCTAATATTGCAGTTTTGTTGGAAGAGTATTTATGATTTTATCATTCTTATGCCCTGTTTGTACATATGCATATTCAAGAAGCCTATCACTAATAATGTTCAGATAATTAATCGGTATTTTTTGGGCAATTTTTAATAAAATAAAGAAAATGAAGAGAACCTAAAGTGCCTTTTTATTGCAGTGTGTTAAAACTTCACTTTTCAGACTCCTTTCAGTTTTTATTCATTGAAAACAAACCTCATGAAGTCATAGTGAAAAAGAACCTCTGAGGTTTTGTCACGGACATAATAAGTCATCTGATCCTCAGAAAAACTGAAAATTGTTTAAATAAACCTCAGATGAATTACAGAACAGGACATATTATTCTATGCCATTATTTATTTTGTCAAAATACAGACGTACTGTTGGAAAAAAAATCAAGTGCACTCCTGCTCCTTCTACAGGAATTAAAAGGAGAAGTAGGTGCTGCTAATCAAACGGTCATCAGCAAGTGTGAGCATCTCTGTGAAAGCAGAGGTTTGGGCAGTTTGCTGGTCTGGGCAGTTTGCTGGTCTGGAGCATTCAGATGTGCACACAGTGCCACAATAGGAACGACATCAGAAATTAGTTTAAAGAAGCAATTGTTGCCCAACTTGGGATTTAATATATCCCAGATTGATGGGAATATATTATAGGCCTTTCCCAAGAAATTTCTAGTTAATCATTCTACAGTAAGAAAAGCTATTCACAAGTCGAAAACACGGGATGGCTGTGGCTCAAGAAGCAGCGCAGGTTATCTGCTAATTAGAAGTTTGGTGGTTCGATCCCTGCGTGCTCTCGTTTGCATGCCACAGTATCCAAAATTGCTCTCCAATCCATTCATCATACCGTGAATGTGTGTGACTGCTAGATAGAAAACACTTAGGTGTAAGGAAAAAAAGTGTTCGCATGAGTGGGTGTGAATGAGGCATGTTGTGTAAAGCTGTCAATCTTCCCAGAATTGGATGTCTCAACAAATTCACCCCAGGGTCAGAGAGAGAAACTGCCAAAGAAGCTTTATGTCAGGCTCTACAGGCCTCAGTTAGCGTGTTAAATGTTAGCGTTCCTGACAGTATGATTAGAAAACAGCAGGGCAAGTATTGGTTGTTTGTAAGGGTTGCCAGGAGCAAGCCTCTTCTTTTCTGAAAAGAATGTGGCAGCTTGGCCTTTCAAAATTCTGCAGCGTCAACCAAAAAACACAGTTGGTAAAAATCTCAATCAGCACTTCACACCAAGTGTCAAGCACTGTGGAGGGGTGATGAACTGTGGTTGTTGCAGGTACAGGACCAGAGCACCTTGTAGTCAAAGAGTCAATTAGGAGCTCCTCTATATACCCAAGTATGGTAGAGTTTAATGTGAGGCCATTAAACTGCTTGAGTAGGTTTTTCCTTCAGTACAAAAGAAATCCAAGCCTGCTTTAAATAAAACCGTATAGTACAGGGGTGGGCAATCTCAGTCCACGAGGGCCGGTGTCCCTGCAGGTTTTAGATGTGTCCTCAAACCAACACAGCTGATTTAAATGGCTAAATTAGCTCCTCAACATGTCCTGAAGTTCTCCAGAGGCCTGGTAACGAACTAATCATGTGATTCAGGTGTGTTGACCCAAGGTGAGATCTAAAACCTGCAGGGACACCGGCCCTCGTGGACTGAGATTATACTATACCAGGGGTGGGCAAAGTAAAAATTGAGGCTCAAGTTGAAGCCCACAGGATAACTGTGGGTCCATGGAAGCTGTCTTGGATGGCTCGGGGGAGAGAAAAAAAAAAAGTCTGCAAAAAGACCAGCCTCAGCCAAATTAACATTTTACAGCAGGTTTTATTTTGAACATACTTTCATATACAAACCAGTGACTGAGAAAATGGCTCATTTGAAGCTGTACTCTACTCGTACAACATCGTAACTTTTCTTATTACCCTCCTCAGTTTACAGTAAACTGGAATTGCAGGACATTTCTCTTCCCTTGGTGTCGGATGGTCAACTCATTTCAAATAGTCCTAAAGTACTGCACTAATTTCCTGCTAAACACTGGACTACTGTAAATATCTGGACATGATACATCACATTGTAGTTAAGCATGTCCACACGACTGGGGAAAATTACATACAGTACAAGCCATTCACTTCAAACATGAGCAAACTGGCCAAAAATCAGTTAATTATGCCTAACGTTGACATCTAGAACCAAGTTTGAATTGTAATTATATAACCAAGATGGTTTACTTTGGACACATATGTTGGTAATCTTACTTCTGAAGTGTACAATTACTTGAATCTAACAAACAGGCAATATAATTAATGGTTTTTATCACTCTACCAGCTTTGAAATGCACAAAACTGATTCCCCAACCACACTTATCAAAAAGGAGCACTCAAACTCACGCTGCACAGTAAATTTTAAGACTGAATATATATTTTGTTTATTATAAGCATTTGTAATTTTACATCCAATGTTAAAATCAACAACTTTGTGACAACCAGCTCCGATTCGCCGCCACCCCCCTCCCTCCCTGTTCCCCGAAAACAAGCTTGTTAAAATAACGTTTTCAAGACCTTTTTAAAGCAAAGGCACATTTGTCAATACGTGTTTTTAAAAAGGAAAATAAAGGCAGGCCAGCAAGCAGAGTCAGTCTGGGAAGCAGACAAAGAGGAAGTGAGAGGCTTCCGTGACAGCTCCAGCGGACCTTCGGTACCCCACGTTTCTGGAACACAACAACACAACAACACAAAACCTGACTTGGAGTAAAGGGCCCGGACCTGGTTTTGTCTCAGAGGGAAGGTCGAGGGCCTGAGGGATCCGGGGTGAGCGTAAAACCACACGGGCAGAAGAAGAAGACGGGGCTTGAGACTTCATTTCTCCACTTCACGCTCTAACACTTGTCCTGAGCCTCTGAGCTTTCGAGGTTAAATTTGAGTCTGTATGCAGGGGCGCTGTGGCCGGTCACACCCAGGCCTGCCTGGATGGTAGACGGGGGACCAGAAGGGCAGTTCCCCTCCCGACTGGCCTCCCTGCTGACCCTTTCTATGGACAGTCACAGCCCTGCTAGTGGCTACATAGTCTGCAAGTCCGACAGGAGACCAGTGGGCTGGGTGAGGTGGGATTGGATCCCTGCCTGAAGGTCCTTCCTCTGCTGTGTCGCCATTGGTCCCTGATCACGGGAAGATGAGTCAGAGAGCGGGGCTGTGGGGGGAGACGCAGCTCCGCGTCATACAAACACCTTAGCGAGAGCGTCTGCTCCAGCACTAGCAATGTAGCATTTTGACGGATGGAACGCCACATCGTAGATCGATTCCTCAAACTTCTTTCTGTGAGCCGTGAACTCCTGGATGCAGGTTTTACTCTCCAGGTTCCACAGACGGATAGAGCAGTCGTGACCTGTGGAGAAGATGAGTGAGAAGAGTTGCAGAAGTGAATTTGCGCGAGTATGAGCAGCTTTATGAATAGGGATGGGTACCAGTATCTGGTGCCATTATGGCACGGTAGTAACGGTAGTAACCAGACCTACTGAGATGTCATACACTTTGGATTCTAGCCAATCATTTTACCTTTGCAAGCGTAGTAGGCGGGCCCAGGTACGTATGTTCTTTTAGAGCAGAGCTACAGATTAAAAATGCCCTGGCTGTACTTCACAGCAAAAGATGCAAACTCAGCAGCCTGCAACAAGTGCTTTAAGGTGATACTGTGCAAAGGAGGTAACACCTCGAATCTGATGAAACACCTGGCGACGCATAGCGTTTTTTTAAAAGCCGAGAAATGCGCCGTATTTGATAGCTTGCTGCGAGACCTCACACCACATCTACTGCGGGTGTGGTGCCTGTTATCGGACCCGGAGTTAGCAACATCCCCCAAGAACCCGAAGAGGAGAGTCCTGGCCCCTAGCCCTGCCAGTGTAGCAGAAATGATGACGGATGATGATGGCAGCAGCAGCCGTTCTTCTCTGCGTGAGTAGCTTAATGTTGTTCGTGTGTAATTTACGTTGAGTAGGCTAACCACGTTATTCTTTAAGCACCGGTTCGAGCACCGGTTCAAAAGTACCGGTATCGGATAAAACGTAAACTATACCCATCCCTATTTATGAACACTGTTATAAGTAACCCATAACAGTGTTATATAGAATAATCCTTTAATTGTCCCACAAGGGGAAATTTGGTGAATATTTTGAGAATTCTAAACACTGTATATTTTCTTCTAACTTCAGACGCATGTAAAATGTTTCCAAGTAAATTCAGCCGACACACTGTTGGGCGAATCCACCTAATAAACCAGAAAATGTTAGTTTTGGTAAATTAAATCTAGGATAGGGAGATTCATAAGGTACTTACTGCCTGACATAAGATAAAGTCCATTAGGGTCCACTGCTAAGCTGGTGACAGCATCCAGATGGGCCACCATGGAGTGAATCAGCTTCCCACTGTTGTTGTCAAAGAACTTGATGTGTCTGTCCTCCTGCGCAGTGATGGTGATGGGTAGAGTGGGATGGCTGAGGACCTTGTTGATGTGAGAGGGAGTGCCTGTTGAAAACAGATGAGCACAATGGACTTTAAAACAGCAGCTATGAGACAGCAGAATAACTAAAGGGATGATCGGTCAGGGGAAAAAAAATAAAAATAAATCTCTTTTCAAAAATTTACAAATCAGGGTTCTTGGCATAAATATAAATTATGGATTTAAATGCACATGTACAATACAATTTTAGTTTTGTAGACCTCTCATAAGTTTTTTTTGATGCTGAAATGCATATTTAGTGTTGTAAAACACATATTACAAATACTAAACATTAACATCTATCTCCAGATCTTTCTAAAATTAAACTAGTTTGGACAACAAGCAACAGCAGCGTTTTATTTCCTTCAGCCACCACTAGATGTTAGTAAAGACCCTTTATTATGGCCTTAACATGTCTTCAAAAATAGCTTCAACCCCTGAAAACTTTTACTGGTGATAAGCTTTTAAGGTTTTTCCTCCACCGCTATCACACTGTGCTAGTGTTGGTGTGTTAGTGACCAACAGCTCCAAACCTACCTGGCTCCAAATTGGACTCCAGACTGAGAACCAGCTGACGGGTCTCCATGTTGAAGAGGCCGATTTGCCCGTTTGTGAAAGATGTGACCAGATGAGCTGGATCACTGCACACCAGATCTACCGAGGAGGGAATTCCCAGCTCTGGTACAGGAAAAACACAAACAAATTATTTTACCTGCTCAGTTGACAAAATGTTGAAAAACGAGGATAAGCAAGACGAGTAAAGTCAGTACTTTTGTTTTCGTTGAATACTGCGAGGGCAGGTGAGGTGGTGTTGGCGTCCCACAGTCTCACCGTCCCATCCGCGGAGCAGGAGAGAAGGCGCTGGTGTGCGCTGCTGTACACCAAACCCCAAACAGAGTCCGTGTGTCCGCTCAGGGCTCCTCGCAGCACAGATGGATCTGTGAGAGAAATAATAAAGAAGAACTCCATTCAGACGTCGTGATCTGATTAGAAAACCCTCAAATTACAACAAAACCCACGAGGGTGTTACCGTATGAGTCGTAGGGGTCGATGTTGGGATTGGGGGTGTTCCAGCACTGAATAGTCCCGTCGACACCGCCGCTGAAACACTGCTCCCCTGTACTGCTCATCGCCACACTCAGTACAGCACCCCTGTGGTTTAAATCAT